ATTAACGTAAAAAAGTAATATTGTAAAGAAATTCTATTTATCATTTTTCGCGGCCTTTTTGTGTAGGCAGGATCGGAGTAGAACTCTCCTCTTATGGCCAAAAAAGGGACGGAAACAAAAATTATAGGCGTTTTTTCTTTACATTAGCCGTCTTTTGCTTTAATAACAATAATTCCCGCTTCCATCCCCTTTGTTTCTGCCCCTGGCATAGTTGTTTGGGACAGTCTACATGATGATGCAACCATTGATGTCGCACATCAGCGCTACTATGTATTACAGCGCTCACGGGTAAAGTCTTTAAAATCTAATTAAAGACTAATTCAAGTGATTTTTCTTATTCAAATTTTTTATATACGTTTTCCGTTTTTTTTTTCAATCTATTTTGTTGATACTTCTTTTTTCCATGCTTGCTGCTCTATATTCAGGTTCCGAAAAGAAATATCCTTTCATAAAAGTAAGCGGAACAACTAATGCGTTGAACAAAGCCAAGCAAGAGTTAAAGTCTGGTGGTTTCACTTATGGAAATGGGCCTATCCAGGTTAGTTCCCAGTTCTCATAGCGCAGTCAAAACATCTCAAATACCAGGTTGGCAATCTCTACGAAGCGAACATTGACGCTGAAGTGAAATTTATGGCCCATAGCGGTATAGTCGGGTGTGGATGGGTGGAAATTCCAATTGGTAAAGGAAAAATACATCAGGCCAAATCAAATACTTCGAGGTGTGTTTATTTGTTTTGTACAAGTTTTTTCTTAGTGGTGACTTTTTGGTCAAGTGGTAATGGTTTAGATGTCAGCTTGAAGTTGAAGTGAAACTTGAGGACCTTGTCGTGCATGATCCAGAGGGTGAATGGGCAGATGTGGCACCTATACGGTAAGCTATACAGCATTCCTCTTTCTCGTGCGTACGCCTTAAGCAGATCTTAAGCCAACTTGTTTCTCATGCTAAACTTATCTGAGAAGTTGGCTTTGTAGTTGTTTACTTATTCTTTGGTGTTTGCCCTTTGACGAAGCTACACGGATCTCCATTTTTTTCGTATAACTATCACTTATCTCCCAGCTTTTGCTGTATAACATTTCAAAGCGATTTTTTCTGCAATTGTGTTCTTGATATCATGTGTATCTTTGGAATTTGTTTGTTCAGCACCCTTTCACTCGATATTGAATGCATGGGTCGGCGCGGAATCTTCCCTGATGCTAGCGAAGATCCTGTCATCCAGATTGCTAATATGGTCAAGGTGAGCCTTTTAGCAATTGTGACCATCCATACTCGGGTAATTTTTAGGTGGAAGGCGAATCTGAACCGTTCATACGAAATTGTTTCGTCTTGGGAACATGTGCTCCTGTCATTGGTTCTGAAATCATTGAGTGTAAAAATGAAGAGGATTTGTTAGAGAAGTCAGGCTGTTCATCTTACTATTTCTTCTCTAAGTTTTCATCGAATTTAACTTTTGTCTACTTTTTTGGTAAATCGTGCTCTTTTTAGGTGGGCGGAATTCGTGCGTACAGTGGACCCGGATATCATCACCGGTTACAACATTCTCAATTTTGATTTACCGTATATTTTGGATCGCGCAAAGGTATGATACCTTGTTTCACAAATAATTCATCGTAGTATGATTTGTTTGAAGGTTCTGAAGCTACCATCAGTAGCGCTGTTGGGAAGACAGCGCGATCGCGCATCAGGCGTTCGTGATGCCGCGATTTCTTCAAAGCAGATGGGAAGTCGCGTCAACAAAAGCATTGATATACATGGAAGGATCATCTTTGATGTTCTGCAGGCATGCTCATCTTTTGCTTATTTTTTCCCGCCAAAATTCATGGGAATTTTTTAACAAGGGAAAAGTCGAGGTGGCTTTCTACAAGAGGTGTATGCCACCGAAAAGCCTAGGGGTATCTCCATACTTCATAAGAATCGGCCGACTCTTATAACGCTTATAAGCGCAATAAGAATTGGCTGATCGAGGGTGCGCGGCGGTTGCGTTGCGACTCCCTGCTGAGTACCGATTTGGCGAGTTTCGCCTCTATCCCAACCTTTTCGCACTTTTTTCCCCGATTTGACTCGCTTTCTTTCTTCAGAATTCTCAGAAGTCGTCAGCAAGTGTGCCTGAAAGATGAGGACGGAACACTAGGCAGAATGGTATTTGACTGCGGAGCAGCAACGCAACCGCCGCGCACCCTCAATCGACCGATTCTTATTGCGCTTGTAAGCGTTATAAGGGTCGGCCGATCCTTATGAAGTATGGAGATACCCTAAGAAAGATGTCCTGCTATCGTTTGTGCAAACCCTCCTACAAAAGGGTTATGGACGATTTAGAGTAAATGAAGAGAAATAGGCTGAAAACGTCTATACGTTGCAGCACAAGTGACGCAGTGGTATATAGTGTTTTTTTTTTCTGGCTTGGATGCTTGTGGGATTTATTTCTGTCGTGGGTGAATGTTTCCCGTTATCGAAAGGGGTTCGCAGAATGCAAGAAAAATTTTCGTACCCAATTCTTATAATTATAAGTATAAATTCGGTAAATACGAAATTATAAATTGATGCGCAGATTACCAGTGGCTGGAACCGAGCGGAAAATAGGAAAGTAGCAGTTATAGAAATGATAAGGAAAAGATCTGCCTAAAAAGCGACAATCCCAACTAGAAACGTGAGGCTCACCACCGCGCCTTGTGCTGTGAGGTTCGCGCAGTTTCACTCTATCTCACTCCACCCATTGTGATTGGATCGTCTCTAACTCCTCTTTTAGAAGCACTTCTTAGATAGCGGAGGCAGATTTGAATTTTTTTCTACAGGTCTTTCAGTGTGTTATATCTCATGGTAGATGACTACTTGACTTATAGGTGTTCCTTTGTGAGTAGAGCTCGTCTTTAGGTGGTCCTTAGAGATTACAAGCTTCGAAGCTATACTTTGAATAGCGTATCCTACCATTTCTTGTCGGAACAAAAGGAAGATGTTGCGTATAGTTTCATACCCGAACTCCAAAACGGTGACGACTATACTCGGCGAAGGTTAGTTTCTTTATCATTGCTCAAATCAAATGTAGATGTTTTGTTAAGGTTGGCGATTTATTGTATGAAGGACGCTGCCTTACCCTTGAAACTTTTGGAAAAGCTTCTTTCTGTGATTAATTACATGGAAATGGCTAGAGTAACGGGTGTTCCGCTGAACTATTTGCTTACGAGAGGGCAGCAAATCAAGGTTATCTATAACTTTTTGAATTCAATGCTATCAATGTTCTGCTGCAATATTTCACTGTCTCGGTTAAAAGGTAATAAACTCTTTTTTTTTAAAGATTCTGTCGATGATGTTGAGAAAATGCAAAGCGAATCATTTCTTTTTGCCCGTAATTGAAACACAAGGAGGCGACGCGGAGAGGTAAAGGAGTTGTCATAAGCTTCAATTAAATTTGCCTTATTGTAATTATGTTTGAGCACTTTTGTTTTCTAGCTACGAGGGTGCCACCGTCATTGATCCTTTGCGCGGGTTTTATAATGAACCCATCGCCACGCTAGATTTTGCCTCACTGTATCCATCGATAATGATTGCTCATAATCTATGTTATACAACCTTGCTAAAGAAACCGGAAGGAGAGGAGGGAAAGGTAAATGAGAGCGTTTATTTTTCTGAGGTTTTTTTAAAAATCGTGATGATATGCTATTTTTTATTATGAACAGTGCAGAACCGTTTAAGGGATACTCGGACATTTAAAATTCCTCTTTTCTTCCTGCTTCCCAAATTAGGCTAGTTTTTAGGACTACATCAAAACGCCGACAGGAAACTACTTTGCCACGAAAGAACGGCGTCGTGGCCTTCTTCCTGTAATCTTAGAAGACTTGTTGGCAGCAAGGTTTCTTTATTAGATATTAACGGTTCGAACTACGGCTAATAGACATTTTTTTTTTT